GTTGTAGTTGTAGTTGTAGTAGTTGTTGTAGTTGTAGTTGTAGTTGTAGTAGTTGTTGTTGTAGTTGTTGTTAGTTGTTAGTTGTTAGTTGTTGTCGTTGTGGCTGTTGTTGTTGTTGTTTTTGTTTTTTTGTTGGTGTTTGTTGTTTGTTGTTGTAGTTGTTAGTTGTAGTAGTAGTTGCAGTTGTAGTAGTAGTAGTAGTAGTAGTTGTTGTTGTTGTTGTTGTTGTTGTTGTTGTTGTTGTTAATTATTAGTTGTTAGATGTTGTTTGTTGTTGTTGCTGTTGTTGTTGTTGTTGTCGTTTTTGTTGTTGTTTTTTTGTTGTTGCTGTTGTTGTGTTTGTTTTGTGTCGTTTGTTGTTTGTTGTTTGTTGTGGTTGTTGGCTGTTGGGCGTTTTTGTTGTTTTTGTTTTTTGTTGTTGTTGGTAGTTGTTAGTTGTTAGTTGTGGTAGTAGTAGTAGTAGTAGTAGTAGTAGTAGTAGTTTTTGTTGTTGTTGTTGTTGGTTGTTTGTTGTTAGTTGTTAGTTGTTAGGTTGTTAGGTTGTTCAACACCGTTCAACTACAGTATCCAGAACTTGGACCTGTGCAGTCCCATGTCGAGTTGGAAGTTTGTTTGGAAGTTGGAAGGTCTCTTTTCGGGTGTTCAGGTGGGAGGTGTCCCTGTCTCACCGTCCAGCAGGGAATGCAAAGTTTGCCCAAGAAGGATTCACTGATGGGGCTGCATTTCATGTTTCATTCACAAAACTGGGATGAACTAAGGAAAGGCAACTTGGAGATCGGCCGCTATGACCAGGTGCCTGCGTTGTCAACGACCCGCGAAGAGTACCTGGACTTTGGCTTCTGTGGAAAGCTGAAGGAAGACGGCTGTGTCATTGAAGGTTGAGATGGTGTGCAAATCACTTCCTTGGAGCACAGATCAGGAGTACAGGGTGGGGGGCAGCAACATCTTGCAACCAAGTGCCCCGCCTCTTTTTTGGGTGGGTGCTGACCCTTTTCTGCTCACGTCATTTCTGGGACACTGTACAGGCGTTCCCCGAGCGGCTCATTCGACATGGCAAATGGCCAGTGGGTGTCGAATTGTGAAGGTCGACTCGGCGTTCGGAATCACGAAAAAAGAGACAGCTTGCGGTGATGGGTTGTGATTCTTTGGCAAGTTGGAGGGTACCCGGCGACCATTTTGTGGCTCGGGGTTTTCTTGAGCAACTCACGAGTTTCTAATTGGCTGCCAAGTTGTCCCCCCCCAAAAAATAACACTATAAAAACTAGTGACCAACGTGTGCGGTCTTCTAGGTTGGATGAAGCAATTCCTTGACGATTGGAGATTCCCCTTTATAAACCTGTTTGTTCTCAAAGGGTAGTGAGCTTTAGGAGTCCATGATGCTTCTTGTGAACAAGCATCGCCGGCATCTCCTCGGTGCACCGAAGCCTTCGTCACGTCGCGGAACCTTCGCCGCGGCGGTTCCGCCGGCGAGGCTGGCTTCTACATCTTCGAGGTGCGTGTGACTCGAGACATGGCTCCTTGGGAACGAGACGGGAGCGTCGAAGGACGGATGGACGGGGTTGTTCACATGACTGGACTGAGCATTCCCAAGAGAGGTCAGACTCAGAAAGAGACCATTCGTAGAGAAGTGCTTTGGGAGACATGTTGGGTCCCCGCTGGAGGGTTGGCAGCTTGAGGTGGTCTTACTTGATGTGTTTATGGTTATATGATCTATGTTATATAACTTCATGTTAACTTATTGTGCCAATGATGTCGACCTTGCAAGGCAAAGGTTTTATTATGTTGTATTTTGTGTTGATTGGATTCCATTTTTTAATCGGCACTTTTGAAAGTCCCACAGTCTGTTGACACGATCAAGTCCCAGAGTCTGTTTGCGAAATCGAATCTGGGGGGCACCGAAATCGAGTCTCGAATCCCAGAAGAGGGAGTGGTCAAGAGGAATTCGAGACGTTCAGGGCCAGCAGTAGTGACTGCTAACTTGTGTGAATGTCTTAGATGCTACCGAGGTGGTTTCGAGGTATTGTGAAGTACATTCGATCCAGGGACCTCATTCCAGATGAGCCCCCCCTTTGCTACGTAGGGCGCGAAGGAAGGTCTGACTGCGACCATCCCAGCTGTACAAATTGGAGTAAAAGATGCCATATATACGCTGATTCAGGGACTTTATTGCGGAGAACCGGGTAGAATGCGTTGCTTTTTTTGACATCCTTTGACCAAGGTTTGCCAGGGGTGGTCCGTTGAAATTGGCAGATCATTGGATCAGCCGAACTTGGGCCTTCACTCAGCACGCAGCATCCTGTCGTTCAGGTTTTGAAGGCCTTCTATGTCAGTGGCATGGCGATCTTCTACTTTGCCACCAAAGTGATGTCTGGCGGACTCTGAGATGCCTCATTGGATCATCCGCAAGCCGCCCAATCACCAAGCAATCGACAATGAATCGCATCAATGTATGGTTTCTGGTCACCAAAGTTCTGGCGATTGATTTGGTGATCGTCCCATGCGGTCTTCCCAGGCACGCGGCTGGACGGTTGGCTGGCTGGTGTCGCCTCCCCAATGGTCCATGTGAGTAGTGTGCGGCACAGATATTCATCTGGAATTGGATCTAGAGTGGTGTTCAATTCCAGTTCTTGGTCTATTTAAAGTGTTGGAGTTCTAATTCAAAGTGTTGTTTAATATTCTTTATAACTATGTGGTAGATGGTCTAGGCTCAGACTAGAGATTCAACATGTTGGCTTGGGGCATCAACCTGTTAAAGCTTTCAGGCCCGAAAGCGGGACAAAACGCTTTTAGCCTTGTTGCAGCCTGGGGAGACAGCGGCCTAGCTTTCACCAGCACCATCCCAAAGCATGGTGACGGTAATGGATGGATTTGGATGGAAGAGTACATGGCATACACAGGGTTAGAGGGTCTATATAGAGGCCACTCTTTGTGTTGCTGTTTTTGGTTTCTTCTGGATGTCATGCCCAACCCACATAGGCTCATGCCCCATGAGGTCGACCATTCCCCCAAGCATTTTGTTCGCCACAGGGGCTAAATCCCGAAGACCTGCTCGCGAGCCGCCAAGATGGTCTAGCCGTGAACGCGGGAGCGGCACCAACCGCAACATGCCAACCATGCCTGTACCGTTTGCTTGAAGATCAGCGATGCAGGGGTCACCGGAATGAGAGTTTCATGCAACACACCCCCGCGTTGACAATGATTGTAAGCCAGGTTGGAAAGCCACGCAGCATAAACAACCAACGCAGTGGTTTTGACATGTTTTGACCACGAGGTTTATGTATAATATATATATAATTTATATATATTATATATATAATGTTATTCATTTACTGTTTCTTTTTCTTTCAGGCAGGATGCCGACCGATCTGCAAACTGCTAACTGTCATTTGCAAACCTTTTGCTCGGGGTACTGACGAATCTGACTACTGGCATTGCGAGTAGCAGAATTTGGGAACCACTATTTTGCTAGCAGGCAATTAATATATACTGGCAGAATGTGGAAGGCTTGTGTATGGCACACACGATTTGGCACATCTAGACATTCAGAAAGTTTCGGAGTTGCATGATTGGAGCAACTGACTACTGCAGAAAAAGCATCTATTTCTTTGCGGCACTTAGCAAAGCTAACCGCCGCAAAAGTTGAGCACATGTTTGCCTTGCCATCAGTGGCAAGAGTTCCCGTTTGCCGTTCTTCCAAAACTTGGTCCGAAGCAGAGTCTTTCACTTGGAGCACTGGAGGAAAGAAACTCCTGCACATCCCGGCGTGATCTTCTCATTGCGCGTGCATTTTGTTGTTTCTTGGTGAATTTTTGGAGGACTGGCTAGTTGTATGAATTAGTGAAGCTGGCTAGTTGTATGGTGTTTATTCAATGCCTTTTTCAAAAAGAACGCAGCTGGTAACAGCGCGGCTGTGATCATTTTTCTCGAAGGGCCAGTGGTCACCACGGCGCTGGCTCAGAGGATGGCCGCAAGAATCCGCAAGACCAGCATCCAGCTTTTTGCCTGGTCACTTCACTGAGCTATTTGATTTGATCAGTGATTTGGTTTCTTTGTGCTTAAATAGGTTGTTTTCTCCACTGGAGTGACATGGTTCGTTCGATTTTTGCCGATTGACTTGGTGGTCGCTTGACTTGCTGGTCTTGTGGTTCAGCTGAGTTTCATCACCGGAAGATCGGGGAGTTCCTCGGGGACTGGTAGGTGTTTGGCCCTTGGAGCGAGGGTCCCGCAGTTCGCGACTGACAACACCACAGTTTGGGTCCCTCAACGTTTGGCCGAGAAGGACTCTTTTTGAACTTCACCCGTTCAAACACCAGAGCTGAGCAGAGAAATTTGGTAGGTCTTCTGGCAACACTACGATAATTATGCAGGCTTTGAGGTAGCAGAAGGCAATGTTTCTAGATTGCTGGGAAACTGCAGTGTATGATGACTGTGAACACTTGGTGGTTTGGAGACCAGGGTGAGGCGATGAGGAGGGCATGTGAAGCACCTGACATTCCTCAAAACTGGTTGGCTTCAAGTGTTGAGGTGACCTGACACCAGCCACTGGAAAACATTTGTAGTATTTGGAGGCTGTGGAGAGAGATCTGCCATGTGAAAGACAAAGAACAAAGGAAAGCACCTCGATACGGATCCCTGACTTCTGACCGCTCTTTGATTTGGGGCTGGCCACTTTTAAGTTGGGCTGGTGGCCCCCGCCCCATGCTGCTTGGAATCCTAGGGAGAATCAGCACAGTTTGATCTCCTGGGCTGAAATGGATCAGAGAAACTTGCTGAAGCTGGTTCGTCGGTTTGGCAATTGCTAACTCAGTACTGCTGGACTTCTGGACTCGGAAATCTTTAAATTCCGCCAGCTGGGTGACATCGGAAGGGTCCAGTGGGGTCGACCATGTGGTCCTTTTCCAATTCTAAGCCGTCTAAGCCATGTGGTCTCTGTGGTCCCAACTGAGTCGCTTGGCGTGGCGAATGCTCGTTTGAAGAGTCGCTTTTTCGAGAACAGGTGCCAACTGAGAAGAGGGCGACGGCCTCGCTAGTCGAATGGAATCGCTGGCAGCTACTTTGTGGATCAGCTGTTACCCTGAACCACCAGGTCACAGATCTACTCCGAGCCACCAGGTCACAGGCTACTCGGAGGGTGCCAGGCTGGACCAGTGGAGGCTCGAAGTGTATTAACCACTGACTAAACATGTGGCAAAGATGCTTCCATCTCTAGAGCATTTCTTCAGAGATAAACTTGCGGCAGCGGGCTACCTTGTACCTTGTCAGCGACCTGAAGATTTGTCCTTTCTACTACTTGTACCCATCTTTGGCATTTCAAGCGACATCTACGGAACATGGAACCAGGGGATAGATGGGATAGCAAGGTTTCCAGCATCAAAGCAGGGGATGCCGTGGGAGCCTGGTCCTGTTTCCATGGGAGTTTCTATGTGTCATGGACTCGCCTAGCAAGCACATGGAAAAGTTGATTGCAAAGTGTGTAAGAGTCTTTAACGGTTGGAGGTAGGCGTCTACAGAACCGAAGTGAATATCAATATTCATAGGGATGTCAATGTTAGAGTCATTGGGGCGTTGAAACATCCCTTTTCTCAAGGCTTCCTGCTTTTGTTCATCCCAGTGGGGGTGGCGTTTCCGCGAGTGCGTTTGGGGAAGGGCCCCACACATCGCTCCAGTGAAAAGCCGACGGCGACGCGGTTTGTGGGCGGGTTGATGGAGTTTGGATTCTGATGAGCTGCTGATGAGCTGATTTGCAGCCGATGATCATGTTTTGCTCAAAAAGCCGCGATTCGAGCCACCCCCACGGATAGACAGGCACAATGTGGGGATGTACGTTCACTTATTATTACCACTTTTATTTGCTCTGAATTTATTTGGGATCGTTGTGAGACTGGGCATGTGACATCATGCAACATGCTTTTGCAAGCGAATTTGTACAGTCGAATGCGTGGTATGTACTCACCTTAGGGGGAAAACATAAGACCGCCAACCGCGTTTGCCACCCGAACCGGGTGCTTTGAGGGTGCTGTTTGAGCACATCGCAGTACGCTCGTGCAAGTCCTCCCACGGTTTTCAGTCTTGCGACCTCACAAGTTGAGAAGAGAAGAGTATGCATTCGAAACTATGTAATGTAGATCGATCGAGAATTTGTATGGGAAGGAGTGGGTCGCCCAGTTCAAGAGGTACCATTTGAGTCACACATGATTATGAATATAATACGCACACGTTTCGAAAGTTGTGGGTTGATGCAGAATGCCACCGGAGCACTGGAGACAAAGCAGAGAATATCACATACGCGGGGTCAATGTGAGACGGCTTCAAGGGCGAGTCATGCACACGAGAGACAGAGAGAGAGTCACGCAGTCCGCAGTCCAATTTTCAGGTGATGGAGGCTCTGTAGTTCCTTCATCATGAGGGTTGAACTGCCGACCCATATGGTACTTGCATAGGGATGGACTTTTCTTCAAGCATTCCAAGCAAACAGCACCTCGGGATCTTCACAATATTCTGGAAGGGTCTTGAACATATCGGCTGTTGCAACTCATAAAGTTTATATAAGCCCCGAGGCCTTTCACCGACATCCATTTTGGGGATGAGAATTCAGGTATGCGCGGGCAGCTAATTAAGGATTTGGATGGAACCAATTGTTTGTTGTTGATCAGCCAGGAACTACCCACTTCAAAAGGTATCTTGTTTCTGTGTTTGCCAGAGCACAGCCGAGAAAGACTGTCGCAAATGAAGGCTCGTTGAAGAACAAAAAGCACTTTACTTCGGAGACGCGCCTCGAGCGTTCTGCGAGAAGAACAGCACCCTAGCTGACCAAACAAGGCCTTTGCCAGCAAAACGAGGCGCTAGCGGATTGTGGAAGGCGTTTCTTCAGACAAGCCACTATATGCAGCCATGGTAAACGACCAAAGAATTTACAGGCTTGAAAACCAAGATACACCTCCAGCAATACATTGCTTTGTAAAGACTTGTGCTGGAGGATGGTCCTCCATGGTCCTCCGGTCCAGGCTCTTCAACATAGCAGGCATCCAGAAAAATCCAGAGAATTGGAAAGCATAACATAGGTATCAAGCATTTGTTCTCCGCTCAACACCTGAAACATGAAGAGCGGGCACACCTATGGACATTATGGGCCATCAAATGAGGGATGTTGTGGAAACGACAGGGGTTTCTTGAAAAAATTATGAAAAATACAATTGAAAAACATCAACAAAACCGCCGTTTCACCACCCCACCCAAGTGATTGGTGCCCAGAGTTGGGGTCTTTATCACCAGCACCAGAAGGAGGCAGGAGCACATTCTGAGCTTGGAGATGGCCTGTCACTACACTGTACGGTTCTTCCGGCCGCTTCCGTGCATGTCACTGCGCCGACCACGGTGCGTCCTTGTTCCGTTCGCTTTCGAATGCCAGGAGCGCGACCTTCGTAGCGGCCCGATCGCTCCGGACTCGTAGCGATGGGCGGATTGGGAGGCCATGGCCAAGCACAAAGGCAGCGTGTTTGGAGCCTTGGGTGAAGAACCACAGCCCAGCTCGGAGCAGCTCAGGCGAGATGACACAGAAATGCCAGCCTGCAATGAAGAGGGAAGAGCCAATAGCATGTGATCACAGGATCGTGGAAATGATAGCATGTGAATACAGAAAAGAGGGTCTGTGTCCGTTTTTTGTGTGTTTTGGAGGGTGAAATCAATCGAGGAATCAATCGAGGATTAAAAAGCAATCCTTGGAAGATTTGTTGGATGGTTGTTGAATCAGGGGGATGTGATTTTTGGACGGCAATTTGGGCATATGGTTGATCAAGACCGTGCTGGTGCAAGGCAGAACGAACTTAGACTCCAGACGCCTCCACAGACGTGTTGAAAACAAGCAATCAGCAACTCTAGATGCTGGGGTCCAATTTTCCACTTCCATGTCCGTGAGTCAGAGTGTATGCTCGGGTGACCAATCGCAGGAACGATCTGGCACTGGAATGGTCAAGACTCTCGTCATCGCGCTGGGTCTTCCTGGAGGACTGTGTTGCAAGCATTTGAAAGGTGCTCCCCAAGTAGATGACCGTGGCACGATTTCCAATACCTTTTGAACAGGTATTTTACTCGCAGGTGATAGAGTCACACTCTAATCCCACCCCCTTTTTGGCTGGTCCCAACAGGGGCAGGAGGATGCCCGAAAAGGCTAAAGGCAGGTAATCAGAGGAAGAAGAGCACAAACCTGTTCCATGTATAGGGCTGGGTGGGCGGGACACAAAGACATGATCCAAAGCCGTTTTGGATCCACCAAAGAGCATAGCGGCGGCCAATTATGCCTTGGCCCAGGAGGGCTGAGAATGTGCCATGTCAGCTTAGGACTGTCAACGCCCAAGCAACCATTAGAAAATCGTTCTTTCAGTATTTGCGGCTTCTCAAATCGGCGTCTATCCCCAAAGTGCAGCCTCCAGAGAATTTGGATGCCAACCGGGAAGAGTGCTTCTCATGACTTGTGCGTCGCAGAAGGAAAAAGGGAGCTGCTGCGTTTCAGTGTATTGAATGTAAATATTATAGAGAGCGAGAGAGATAAATGTCCATTCCAGCCTTGCCACAAGTCCAGTCCAACAGCATTATTCTCCATGCTGAAGATGGACATCTCCACAGCACACTCCCGAAAACGAACATGGACTAACAGTCCCGAATGGGACTTGGCTTCAGGACCGTTTGCCTCTAGCTGCACCAGTGGTGTTCAGGGTCCATGTGGGTTAGAAGACCCGCCTTTGGGCCGACTCTTGCAGCTTCACACCGCTCAGGACGAGGGTGCCCGGATCGGCGAAGCAGTGCGCGGCTGAGCGCGGAGCGGCGCTCCGCCGTGGGTGTTCTTCTTTTCCCCTTCCGGGCTCCGAGGTGAGGTGAGCAATGGACATGCAAAATGTGACAGTTGTTGTGTTTTCTTCCAACTTCATCTTGTTTTGTTTCATCTTCTTTCCAAGGAGAGCATCCCCCTCCATTGAGGGAAGTGGAGGATGGCATGGTCCATGGTTATGAACTGGCCCTGGATTCCCTGGATAGCATTTTCCTCTCAGGGGATTATCCACTTCCATTTTTGTTGGAGCAATGGCAACTATGTTGTGCTCTTTTTGCTGTTTTTGTGATCTAATGAATCGAAGTGATGAACCAGATGTGAATAATTTTGCACCTAGAAGCTGGCTGGGAGCCAAGCTGGGCGTGGCTGGGCCTGGCTCAATCGATCGGTCCTTCTTTCACACCTTTCGGTCCTGCGATGTTTTGCTCTTATATGTGTTCACAATATTAGGCCGCAAACAGAGACAAAAAGTAGATCCCCACTAAGAACGTGGAAGGCGTTTCTATCTATTTCGGGACCACTATATACGCTATATAGTTGTCATGACTTTGTTCCATATATTGCTCCCCACATCAAAGTGACCGAAGTGTATCGCAGCTTCCTCCAAAACCCGGTTTTGAATGAAGGACCCCAGGATCTGAACGGCAAACATGTGGAGGAATTCGGTCCTTGGCGCAAATTTGTTGGGGGTTCTCTCGGCCAATGGGGTCAAGAGGATCTTCCGGCAGGTACTTCCCAGCTCCCTGTTCCACCGGCTGCGACAAGGCGGACGCTGCATTAAGATCACCTCTTGAGAATCGATGTGGTAGACGACAAACCCGACACGCCGAGTGGCGTTGCGTGGTGGAAGTTGCCGCTGATGAGCGCGTAATGGTGAAAGCTGCCTCTTTAGACTGGGCGAATTCCCTTGCAGGATGAAGATCATTGTGGCACACAACTTTTCTGCGGCCCTTGGGGTGTTGAGGCCATCAGTTTGGTTACCCCTAGACCTTTGGAGCAAGATAGCCCAAACTCAACACCGAGCAAATGTGACAAGAGTTTGCAGTGCGCAACACATTGCCTGCACATGCAGTATGGCATATGGTATGGCACTCATGACCCCCGCATTGAGAGTACTGCGTCATTGAGTTTCCATCCATCCGTCCATCCATCCCCGCGGCCAGCCCCTTTGGTGCTGCACCTGGACGTGCCCTTCCAGCTCCGTGCCGAGCGCTCGCTGCAGCTCTACGGCGCCTTCGGTGGAGAGGCGCGGAACGATGGTGCCGGAGGCTGGAAATCCCTGATCTCCATAATATTTTTATATATCGATCCTCCAGGAATAGTTTTTTGTTTGATTCCTATATAGTTTTTTTTGTTGATCCCCTGGCCAGATTCCTGTTCCCGTTTGACTCACTGTGAGTCGCACCAGAATGGATTGGTTTTTGACAGCTGTAGCTAATTGGGAGACACTGAGTCACCATGATGAAGTCCACACGTGAAAAGGTCCTGGGGTCCTGGGGTATCGTCCATTTGTGTGTGTCCTTTCTTATTGCTGCTTGTTTGGTTCTAAGACCTGCTTGATTTTTGCTGCCTGGTTTGGCCCAAGCTCAAATCCATTGATCATTCTTTAGCACCTCAGTCTCAACCACCACTTGGAAAACCTCATCGCACGTTTGGTGGTAGAATCTACCAGGATCTACCATTCCTAAATCACCACATGCGTCGACTTAAAGGTTGGAGTTGTGATCGTGGTGTATGCTACATGGTGATTCTTGTCCTAGTTGCTCACCTGCCGTTCAGGCCTTATGCGGTGCAGTGGAGCTCCTCGGCCAATCTCGTGGTGTCTGGCGGATTTGCAAAGTTTGGAGGATGGTTGGTAGAAAGGAGAAGTGAAGCGACGCCATCCGACACCGAGAGAAGTGCAGGTTCTTTGTTTACTTCTGGTTGGGTTGTTTCTTGATCATTTGCCATTTGCAATGTTACCAATTTGTTTACCATTTGATCGTCAAATTGATTGATATATTTTAGGTCTCCCGGTCTTGCTCCTCTCGGGTCAGCCTCTCCTTCGATCCCACATGGCGTCGCCAGCGAGTCGCCAGGCACTTCCGGCACCGCATGGGACACCAACGCACCGACCAGCTGCAGCAACAGCTCCGTGACGGTCAGCTGCGCCCAGTCTGTGAGGCGCGTGGGAAACCGCCGTTTGAACGAGTGAAACCTATTGGCCACGGCCAGGTTGGCAGTGTTCTTTTTGAGGGAGGGGTCCAGGGGTGGGAGGGAGAGTATGCAAGGTGGAGATCACAAACAGCACTCTTATATGCTTGCCATTGCTTGCCTGTTTTTGTGGAGGACCTCATGACAGCAGCGTCAATTGATTGTTCTGGTGGGAGGGATGGTGAATCTCGGACTTTGTGTTTTCCAACTTATGAGCCAACCACACGGCAGTTTTTGAGCGTTGATTTATCTCTACCTCACCAGGTGTAGAACCATTGTTTGGGAGCAATGGCGGCTTCGCGAGGGCCATTCAGGCGGCAGCATATCCCAGATTTTGATAGATTTGTTCAGTGGAGCATTGGGCTCTTATTGACTCGATCCACCAATCTATGGAGCTCGACTCAGTGGATGTGATCCATTTTGCCGTAAGCTGGGATGGTATGCGAATTGATGATGATAGGGTTTTTCTTTTTTTCACAGGTCTGTGTGTGTGTCACAAAACGTCACATTTTTTTGTCAAGACAAAGAAGTTTACCAATTGGTGGTAGTTCACTCGTTTGAGCAGCTTGATGCGCCAGACCCACTTTTGGAAGAATACGCTCATATACGCTCATGTCCTTTTGGGAAACGCTCACAGCTCACATGTGTTGTGTTTTTGTTGATGGCTCTCGAACACTGGTCGCCATTTTCTTCAGGAAATCCTGCGTAACTACGACAAGGCCTACGACTATCATTTGAAGAGGCGTGTACCCATGAATACAGCTGGTGTTGTTTTGCTGCAAGATTTGTAGAATAACACTGGCCCTCCACTTCCATTCTCACTGTTCCAGGAACTTGATTTTCCAGGGTTGCTTTCGAGGCACTTGACGAAGGCAACGGTTAGGCCGTGACAGACTCCTGGCTATCTCTCAAATTGGGATAGCCCTTGCTGCCGCTTTAATAAAGTTGGGGTGCCTGAGGGACTACGGTAGCTCATTAGAAAGGATGACAGTTGATATGCTTGCCTTACACGTCAAACCATAGAGCCCCCCAGGTTCTTATGGAGAAAATTACTGGCCTCGCGCGGCCTATCACCTGCTTGTTGGTGAAGTTAGACCCCTGGGGACTTTAGGTTGGGGTGGAGGTTGGTGGGCTGTGGTTCTTGAACTTTATGGTGCTGGGTTTTTGGTGTCCACCTTAATTAAATCCCAAAGCCAAGGCTTTAAAGTTGAAGATTGCCAGGAGTCAGCCTACACAACCCAAATGTCACTCATTGGAGTGACCCTTGCAGGCCTAAAATCAGGACAACTTTAGTTTGGGTGGGGTGCCCAACCTATTCATGCAAGGACTCTTGGGCAAGGTCGGTTTGGGCAACTTTAAGTTGGTTTCCCAAAAGGAATGTTATTTTAGCAGTTCTGGTCTGAGTCCCCCATGCTCATGTTGTCAGCAGATTGTTGTAGAGGTAAGCCCAGATATTTTTGTATATAGATATAATTGGGCGATGTCCAATGCGATTCTATAGAATGTTTATTAACCAGACCAGATCAAACTTCATATTGCGTTTTACCATGTTTTACCACCAAGGTATAGGGGGTGGTTTGAATCAACCATCAACACCACTTATTGTCGAAGCAGATCAACCCGGCCCAATCACAGATCCAGTCGTGTGCAAGCTTTGCAGGGGGCGCAGCAGTGATTGCATCGTTCAGGTGGAGGCGTGCCTGGAGCGGAAGGGAAGGGCACTGGATTGGCGTCACTACCTGGGATTGGAGCTGATTTTCCTGGATTGGAACGGCCTCGTTTGAGCTTTCACCAGGAGAATGACGAAGTGGGGGCGTTTGACCCTGCAGGCTTTGCTGAAGGGTTTTTGAGGTGGGTGGTTTATCCAAAAGTTATCAGCAGTGCATCGCTAAAAGACAAACATACACAAACAGACAAATGCGCTGGACTTGCAGGTGCCCAATAATTTGGTGTTGTTTCAACCAGATAATTTGGCGATAATGAAATCAGTATAAATCAGTAGCTTACTAGCCTGTGATTAGATGATTAGCCTTCATCATCCAAGGGCCTGTGACTCAGGGTCCAGCACATACGATAAGCTTATATTATGTGACCTGGTTATGTGCATCAGGTCACCAGCCACCCACTAGCCCACATTCTTGGAGTGGTGCTTCATCCAACCCTAAGCATTGCCTCACTTGGCATATGAGAGCAGACTATTTAGAGCATAATTGGACAATTAGACCATACCAGGACCCACAGGGGGTTGATAGACATGCCTTAACCTCTCAAAGGCTATGACTAGACACCCCTTAGGGGTGCCTGGTGCGTCAAGAGGTTTTATGGTTTTACCATCGGAGAAGCTGACCATGTTGTGGGCATCTCCCACCCTTTGCTTCAACTTCATTCCCCATGTCGGGCGTATCGCGGCGCCGAGCCCACGCGACGACCCAGGTGAACTCATCGGACTGCGCACGTGTGGCACAAGACTTGGCGTGCTTGGCCGCTGAGCGGGAGGCAGATGCACCCGAGGCGGAGTGGGAGCAGTGGGTGGAGGGGGTCAGGTTGGAAGCGGGGGAGGTAGGGACGCCTACGGAGGAGAGGGGACACGAATGAGATCCCATGAAGGATCAGTGAAGGGATTGTGAAAGAAATTGCTTGATTGTTTAGACTGTATGGGATTGTCGTTGTGTTCCGCCCACCTGTGGCTCAGCTCCGAAACGTTCTGAAACACCCCGCCGGGTTCTCATGCTTGGCGTTCATGTGTGAAGTTATGTAGGTTCAGCCACCATGCCATATGTAAGTAACTAACGCATGGAGTCATGGAGTGCAGAAAACATCACGAGGAAGAGAGATAGTCCCATGGCCCCGGGTGCAACATCATGCCACGGGTGCGTGAGGATTTCTACCCAAGGGAGGCTCCATGCCTCACTTCGCCAGGCCCCGGTCACTGCGCCACAGAACCTACCAAAAGCAGAAGAGGCGGAGCGGGATGCCATGCGTAAGTAATGGCATCCAATGATGGCCAGTGCACGTGATTGAGAACATGTTGAGATTTGTTTTGCATCGCATCGAACAACTGTCCCTCGATCTCAGCGCCGGACTGATCGAATTGTAGAACCAACCCATGACTTGATAAGTTAAAATGGCTTTTGCTATGCTTCGCTCACCAAGATCGCAGCTACAAGCCTCCATAACCCCCGTTCCAGCATACAGTGGATCCTTTATCCAACGACCCTTGCAAAGCCACCATCAATTGGACGGATGGGAAATAGATTAATCTATTTGTAGGAGCACACATCTCTTAGCTAAGAGTGTTGTGTGGCTTAACTCTACTTGTTTCATACTGCTTTATGGATGGAACAGATAGTGAACACCTGTGTCACATGTGAATACCCTCAATGACGAGCTCCCTGCTAGAAAAAGCACATCCCCCGTGAGATGTGATATGATGTGATCACCCAACCCCTTTGAGATGTGATCATGAGGAAAAAACACAAGGTGTGATTTTGCACCCTGGAGCGCTGAAGGGGTCTCAAAACCATGAACTGGTCGATTCCTGTTTCGATCGGTTTCCTCTTTTTTCTTCGTTCCCTGCGCCGTTCCCGGCAGGTTCGAGAGTCCCGGTGCTTTTGCGGCGTGGGGGGCGCCGGAGTCGGTGCTGGGCGGCGGAAACTGGACCATTCACCACTTGTTCAGTGAGCATGTGGTTTTTCCTCAACAGCACTTTAAAAGGGCAGAAGAAAAAGCGGACGAGGGAGCAGAAGAAAAGCAATGAAAGGCATGATGCCGTCTCGAGTGCATCTCATGCATAATATCATGCATACTGCAGAGTTGGAGGTACTCCCGCCGTCCGACGGGCCAAGACTGTCGATCGCACGATTCGGATGTCCGATCGCAAGGGCGGTCGATCACCAGGCATTTCCAAGAACGGACCAACTGCTTTCGACACGGGTCCGGACTTCGCTGCCTTCGACGCTCCGTCAAACTCGCCACCAAGGCCGTGATCACTGAGGTCCGGGGCGACCCGGCAGCAGTGTCGATTTGCCACTGCTCCGTTTGCAGGCACGCTTGTGTGTTGCAGCCGCCTGTTTGGGGTGCATGTCCCTTTAAAACCATCCGGAACACAGATGGAGGGATCCAGTTACCAAATAGGCAATCAGTGGTGTCAAAGACCAAAAGCCTGCAGACCTTTGAACGGTCACCGGGATCCACTGTAAGCCATGCACCAAGCACCAAGCCCTTTTGTGGTGCAAGGGTCAGTGAGGGGTGTCACATGGCATCACTCTGTGGCACACGTTCGAGGCCAAAAGAAGTGCTTTGGTGAGGGGATGACTTGCTCAACAAGTCATGACTCATGACTACTTGTATACCGTATATATATATATAGAGATGTTATAGACGATATTAGGGGACCACCTGCTCAACAAGTCATGACAATATAGTTAGATCTCAACACAAAACCAACCGCCCTCGCTTCCACCGAGAAGCTCGCTTGGTCTCTAGGCGCCTGTCTGGGGCGCCCTTCGTGGCAAGTGCCATCTTCTTGCCCCAGAGAGTCACGGTGAAGAGTGATAAAGGACTGACCAATGCCACAGACTGGGGGAGCCAGAAGGGAAGGGATGCCGGGATGACCGGAAGGGTGTTGAATCAATCGGAAGGGTGTGCCGGTTGATGCCGGTTGGAGGTCAAACCGGTAAGACACCACGACACTACTTCACTAACTACGGAGGGGGTGAATTCTCCGGCGCTTCACCTCTCGCCGTCGCCAGTGGAGACACCAGCTCAGCTGTCCCAGGATCTGAGCCCCAACTGGTCGAGCTCAAGACCTCCAAGCAGGCGGCTTCGGTGCCAACTCGTTTCACGCGCGGGGGGGGGGTTTCGGCGAGCAGGGAGAAAACGACGGCGAGCAGGGAAGGAGAAAACGTATACCATCACATCACCCAATCCTGCAGATCTACGGCGATATTCTAGGGATCGATGTGGCAGATTTGTAGATTTGGTCCAGCTTTGGAAGTAATATGAAGTAATAACCTACTCGGGCCACACACTAACATTAGCAACAACAACTCCTGATGCTCTCTGGACTTTGCGCATCCGCAGGTCTCCCGTTTGCGTTGCGCGGTTTGCTCGGCCCCGGTGGCCGGGCGCTTGGGGCAGCGTTTCGTGGCTTTGCCCTGGGCAGGCCCGAAGGAATTTGTGGTGCGAAGGAATTTCCACTAAGGCCCAGAATTTGGAGTGAGAACTTGTATAACTGTTTGTTTTCAAGATTTGAGAAAGGCCTTCTGAAGGTTCTGAGATGGTATAGATAGGAAGTCTCTCACACCTCAAACGCCTTAGCATCAGAAACATGATTCAGATGTTATTCACTGTTCAGCTTTAAAGATTGGCCCCGCAGCAGCCGTGACAGGCTTCATGAAACCAGGTGCGATGGACTACCGGGGGTCATGCTATGACCTGCACAGTTTGTTTGATGGATTCATATGGGTTCAATGGAAAATGGATTTCCTGGTTCTTGGTTGGCTGGAGCAATAGCAGTTTGACTCTCTCTCTCTCTCTCTCTCTCTTTGGCGATCAAGTCTCTGGAGGGGATGAACTGTAGACTGGCCATGCTCTCGTTGACCTGTCATAGTGTTGCTTGGACAGTGTCAACACAACAAAATCTGCAGCGAGTGTCCAAAATCATTCGAGTAGTCAGCTACGCATTGGCAGATTGGCACGTGCCGCACAACCCAAAGGAAGAATCAAACAACTGCAGAGGATTCTCCCTCGGAATCACGCAGGACACCGAAGTCGTTGTTTCGCACGGACACCTTCGGCGTAAATCGCCACCAGGCGATAAGGTACCGGAAGCGTGGACACCGTCGCACCACCTGCCGCTGGGATCTGTGATCGAAGGGAGGAGTGTTTTTTTCCTTCGGCCTGGAGGACGTTTGGGGTGTAGCAGTGCAGCAAAAAGCCATGGGCTGCGTTTGACTTGTAGAGGGTCCTGATGAATAATTAATATGAGACATTATGAGACTACGATGAGACTATGAGGTTTCTTTTATATAATGCAGGCATCCCAACACGGGAGGGTTGACCATGGGACTGCCAAGGAACACAAGTGCCCACGACCATGAGACGTGATGAGACATGTGACGAGTAGCGCAGCGAGTTGAGTGGTGTGATTTTGGTTGTCCTATTACCTGTAACAGTCAGTAAACAACCATCACTATAAATCACTATGATATCTATTATTGAGCAAGGCCTAAGGCCTGCACCCACGGTGGATCTCTCGGAGTCCTCAGCCGAGCAGGCCTAGCCACTCGAGACACGCATCAACGATCTTCAACGTGTTGTTTTTGACCACCGGGCGAGTGAGGGAGTGAAATAGAGAGAGAGAGAGAGAGAAAAAAAGAAAGAGAGAGAGAGAGAGCCAGCAAGAAAATACATGTATATTAGAATTGGAATGTGCATTTGCGTTCCTCGCATCGCATATAGTCCCACACAAAGACACTTGGTGGCCTTTCACCTTCAAAGTAAATGTGTTTCAGTTGGAGTGAGATTAGTAACAAAAAGCTATTAGGAACAAGTGCATCGCTACTAGTAACAAGTGCCTTACTAGTAGTAACAAGAAGCTATTAATTTTCAGTTGGAGTGAGATATGCAGATGGTCGCCAGAAGGGCTTTGACCCCGGCGACTCGGACCGTCGCCACCGAGGCATTACGACAGCCGAGTGATGGACGGGGGCGGAGTCGGGGAGGTTCGGTGGAGTCGGGGAGTTGGAGACAAGCAGACTAATGTATGACATGTGACATCAGACTCATCGATATCATTGACGTGTCCCTTTTTGCGGTTTGGTACAGATGTGAGTTGGCCATTGGATTATGATTAGACTAATCTCATTTGATGCCATTGAGACTTGAAACAATCTCGTGGGGCCAGTACAGCCTGAAATGATCCACTTGTGTGTGCATGATCAAGACATATCAAGACATTAACCAACATGGAAGTTGGATGGCGGTGGCAGATGACGATGGACATAGATGACATTGGCAGACTTCCAACCTGGCACCTAGAACGAATTCCCGTACAGCGTATTAGTCACGAAGTGAGACCTTTAAGAACTTTATGTACCAAGTGTAAACATGAACATGATAAGCATGGTGTACATGGGAGCAGGCCGCGACCCAGACCCACAGCCACAACACAACATAGTGATGATGACATCCTTGGTTCAGCGCACTGGGCCTTTTTTTTCACGGGAACTTGAGAAAACTATTGAAGGACAACGTTCAGTAGAAGATTGGTTTAGGCCCAAGTACTGCATGGCTTTACGATATTATGTAACTTGGGGTTGTATAGAATTTCGGAGTTTTGGCTTGGGGACTGGGAGGGGTCTCCAACAAGACAGTCTACCGCTCCCGCGTAAAGCCCTTATTCTCCAAAACCAAGGTCGACCTTCAGTTGACAAAGCCTGCTGAATCAACATCCCCTGGCAAGAGATTTGGACCTTTTGTTTTCTTGGTTTATTCTTGTTTGGCCGACGAGAGGACGTGGAGGACGACCTCATAAAGTATCGAGCTCGTTCCCGTGGCCCCGTGTGGGACGCGGCGGCACCTCGCGAGCAGAGCGCTGACGGCGCAGAGAAAAGATGTCATGCTGTCCGCTGGGGTGAAGATTGAAAAGAAACCTTGTTGAATCAGCACGTTATTTGGTAGACTTAGAGTTTGGAAAACGATGGTAGGGATGTTTGTCCGCTTTGATAAATAGTACTCGGACCATGTCGGACCAGTAGTCCGTCGAAAATCTTCCAAGATCTCGAAACAGCACCCAAAGTTGAAACAGCATGTGCCATCCGTCCTCTCTTTAAGCACGCGCAATCCCTATTTGGTGCCACCTATCCAGCCTTGACGCCTTCGCCGCGCCAGACCACCCCGAGAGCACCGGCGCCACGTCCCCACCGCCCGGGGCCGCGCCCGCCGCGGCGCCGGGGCCGGTGGCATTAGTGTCTCCAATGGCCGCACCGATGCCAGAGGCAGAGCTCCGATGGGAGGATTGAGTCGCCAAAGGGTGGATGGAACACACCGCCCTTGGAGCCAGACTGTCAGCGGTTCTGGTGACCTGACTGTCAGAACCGGAGTCTAGTAACTACTAGAAAGCTGAGGATGTTAGGCTACGGGCCGGACCTTTTTCAGCCTTTTTTCGTGGAACATTGCCGTGGCTGCATTTTTTGTGTTTGAGCGAGGCCCAGGGGGAGGGAAACTGAAATGATCCAAGCGTATAAACTCAGACATCCCCGACCACTGACAACTCGGATTAAGACGTTTCGATGAGGCCTCAAAGGTTGTAAATGCCGCAAAACACGAGGCAAAACGGTCGACAAAACGTGGTTTTACCATGTTCTACCTAATGCTTTGCATGGTAAAACCACATTCAGGCTTGGTCCAAAGAGCTCTTGTTGACTGGCCACGCTGCCGCCGCTGGACATGCCTGGGGCCTCCAGTGGCCTTTGTGGGGAGTGCACATGTGACTGTGACTGTCCTGGAAGAAATTATCTTGGTGGCTCGAGCATGTTCACAACAGATATATAGCCATTGAACAAAGATACCAGAGCAACCATCATGGACATGGAAGTGATAGAATGGTGCACCCATTGTTCATGCTTCAATGATTATAGATGTGTATGCATGCATGTTTTGTTGACCGTGTCCTTACTTGTGTTTTTCTCATGATGACTGGGCTCGGTTGTTACCACGAGAGTGGCTATACTAAACTGAGGAGGGCACGCGATCAAACAAATTCGGCTGTTTAGATCTCGGAGTTGGACAGGAATTGGAAACCCTACACTAGCAGTATATCTCGTGGGGACATGTTTAATGCGCAACCCCCTGCACATCCAACAAGTATTCCTTCCATCAATTGTAGTGATGGGGTATCAAGAGGGCTGGGCTGCAGCCCACAGAGAGTCCCTTGTGAGGTTCCCAGACACACCTGCACTCAACAGGGCGCAACGCATGATGCGATCCATAATGCCTCCAGGACCAAGGCAGTCTCACGAAAGTCCCCCTTGTACAGCCTCACGTCCAACGGTGAGGCGACCACTCCAGCTCTAGGTCATAGAATCATAGGAAGGGTCAATTCAGTCCGATCTTTGACACTAGTACCAACAAACATGTCACTCCTTGTTGGAAGAAGAAGTGCTCATCTTCCGATTCCTCCAGAGATGGAGCAATCTGTGAGGGTATATCGACCATTTGGGAGAACTTCACTCACACACACACACACGGACTGCAAGCCCATTGCTTCAAGGAGCTCAACGCACACCCAAAGCAGGTTTTTGTTCAATATCAAATTTCTTCCGCTGGCTGCAGCCGTCCATGCATCATTCGCCCATTCGTTCTTCTACACACATCATTGGCTGAGGCTGTCACCTATACCACCACCACGACCACCACCACCGCTGTGACCATCAACGGCGTTTGGATGCCAAGCCATATTCCCGACCGACCAAAAAACCGAGCGGGTGGCGGAGCCAACGTCAAAAACGAAAAACGGGAGTGTCTCGGTGTAGCATCATCGACCGTTGAACGTCGCCTACAACGTCGCCCCCGTCGTCGTCGTCGTTGTCGTCGTAGCGAGTCGCGGGGTTTTCCTACGGTAGAAGTCGCCACCTGGTGAGCTTCGACATGCTTCGACCCAGACGAAGTCTTCTTCGTCGTCGTTGTTTGAGATTTTTCTTTTGGTGTTGACTGGGTAGGTGGGACATTTGGCTGCCAACTGGAAGACGAGACTCTGTTGGTCCATCAACAACCTGAGACTTGATCCTAAGATTCTTTTTAGAATTCAGCTATCAGACTATCAGATAGGCACTGACGGTGGGCACTGACGTCGGGCCTATCTCTAGTATGTGTGCTGTTGTTGGCTTAGTCACGGTATGTGGTTTTCTTGCACTTCGTGCTAGCTGTGCAAGAGTGTAACACTGTGCACGAGGCTAATTTTTTCTTTTTTTGTTCTCTTGTTAAACCAACTCCAAGCCAAAGCCTAAAAGCCAAGCCTCCAAAACTGCCGCTACCACTGCTACTCAGGTTGTTCAAAGCGTGATGCAGCCTTCTTTAGCCTTTTGAATATGTCTTTGGATGAGTTTTGGATGACGGGTAATATATCGTCAAGTATAGCACCTTGCTCGGAAACAGATCGCCTGCGCTGGACTAGGCTGCTGCTAGCCCAGGGGCTGCCTTTACGTTTGGTGCCCAGAATTTTGGACAGGTCATGGTCCAAGCGCCCAGTGACGGGCAAAGTTCGTAAGCAAAACATGTCGACGGAGGTCCTGAGGGGTGGACAATGACCAGGTCCTTTCCTCGTCGACGGGTGGAGCATGCGGAGACGAAGAAAGCAGTGCATCACAGGACACGACGGAGACCTCACATGGGACGCGTCGGGTGCGGCCTCAAGAGAAGACTCGAGGCCGCAGGCGCCTGCGGGCCCGCCCATCGAGTATGCACCTCAGGCCCTCACGACTGCCCCTGTGCAGTGCCGCTGTGGAATTGGAATCCAGTCAGGTTGATTTATAGGAAGGGCCTATGCAGATTGCGAGTCAGCCCATCGCTACTACAACTAGGTGGTGATTTCATACATGTTTGTGTTCAACCTTTACTTGGTGTGATTGAATCCACTGACTATAGTAAATACTTAATCAAGTGAGTTGAAACGATCAACCGGACAAGCTTGTGAAAATATGGATGTGCCGCTGTGCCTGAGAGTTGGACACCATGCCTCAACACCCACAACGATACTCCCATCTTGAGCAGCGTTGGCACGCAATTTGGATATGTCCAGCCTGGTGCCAAAGCCATTTGGTTGGTGTCAGGAGTTTTGGCTGTTTCCATGTCCAAAACAATCCCATATGCCATAGCTCCTGCTGACAAGATGTCCTCCACAACACCATGAAGTGGGTGGAGTCTCACCAGGCAGCGCCCGGGCAGCCCCCGGCCAGCCCGAGTGGACCGGGCGGACCTGGTGGGGGTGGCCGTGAGAAAGCCTTGTGCGGACGCCGAAGGAGGTGACTCGAAGAAGTGGACCTGGCGAGGTGAACTGGGAGGTTAGAGGGATCTTAAGTTAAGACTAGACCGAATTATGTCCTCAAGATCGAATCCATCAGTCCCTTGAAAATGGATATAGACCATGATGTACCTGGATGTTCTTCAAAGCATTGCATTGCTTTGGCTCAGACCTGTTCCCACACCAGTCGACACCACTTGCTGTGACATTCCACTCCCCTGGCACTAGCACTCCCCACGCTTCGAGCCATTGAAGCTCCACTGAGGCCTGCGCCAGAGCCGACGGAGGAAGACATGAAAGCCATGGTACGGTGCTCAATGCAGCGTTGTAGTGCAGCTGGAGCACTGAGTTCAAGGAATCAACAACCATAACAAACCTAGCAGTGCGAGCAACAGGGGGATGCTCTCAGCGCTGTCGATGTGCAACTAAGACTCTAATCAGAGCGCGCTGCGAAAGTCTATGCCACCACTCGCGAACATTGCGACTTTTTGTAGTATTCTTTAGTCAAAAGATTTTGGCAGTCCACTTTTTGGTCCACAACCAGATTTGGGGTCCTGCTTTTGGAACCATGAAGCTGCACAGGTGCAACGGTAGAATATAGGATTTGGAATGATGATCAGAGTCCGACACACACACTTACAGAGAGCAATTTAATGTTGTGCTTTTGAGGGCCAAAGCTTAAACAATGCTCAAGCCTGAATTAGGGGAATGAGGGGAAGAGGCATTCTCACCTTTCACTGGAATTGTTCAGATCTAGGCGACTTACGCAAACCAAGGCGTCCAGGTCCTCCAGTCGCGTTGTTGCTTCGCTCAGGTAGCTGCCCGGCAGCTGAACAACGGCATCCCTCGCGCCGCACGTCCGAGGGAGGGAGCCAGGAGTTTCCGTGTTTGGAACGTGACAGCACAGAGAGAGATACATACATAATATTATATATATATCCTGGACCTTCGTTTGATACAAAAAAAATGCTCAAGTGTTCAATTGATACACTTTGTGTGGGGTCGAGCGCTTTTTCAAGAGGGACTTCAATTCGAGCACATTTTTCTAACACCTTGTCTTTTTGAGGAAATGTTCCTTTTGGTTCATCTTGGTCCCAATCAGGCATAATGAAGATCTTCTGTGATCTTTTGGTTTGTTGAAGTCTTTTGTTCATGCATGTGTGCATGTTTTTGTAAAGTTGCAGCTCCTTTTCGGCTTTGAAGCTATTGGATACCTATCATGGAGATGCAAGGCATGTGGTTGATTGATGTTGGTTGCATACATGCATGCATAACAATTGCGCACTTCTTGCTTGTTGTGAAGGTGTTCAATGGCAAGCAGGCATCACTTCAGAGGTCTGGGACACTTTCTTTGGAAAGAGTCAGGCTGGGTTCATGAACATGGCATGATGTTGCATGCATGGAGATGTGGAGCCTTACCTTAGCTTGCTTGCTGTGTGCCTGTTTGCATTGGCTTGATGTGCACTTCATGCCAATGAGCAAAAATATCTTGTCCAAGTCAGGTTCCTCAAGTATAGGTCAGATGGCGTTCTCTGAGCAGGCAGCACTCTTGTCTGCAGCATGGGCCAACATCCCCGAGCTGGCTGAGAGGGGTGCAAAGAATTCCCTTCGTGTCGTGACGTCCAAGAAGATCACCCGAAGTTTCTTGCATGCATGAGTTGTTGCATTCATGGGATTGATTGCATGTGCATGCTGCATGCTGTCATGTTGTTGGGAAGTTGAGGTGATGTAGCTCGCAACAAGTTTGTTGTGGGGCTTGCAGTGAAGCACCTGGGCATGCGGCCTTCTATGGGGATGATCGACCAAGCCGTCTACCAGTTCTTCAGCATGACATTGCCTCGCATGAAGGAGCCCTGTAGCATCTTGGATTGTACATTCATGCATGCATGAGGATGTTCAGCTTTTTGTCCCTGCATACATGAATGCCTCAGGTGTAAAGCAAAGGCTTCAAACGTCTGTGGTCAAGAAACTGGTATACTGTTTCTCACGCACGGCCAAGAACCTTGGCTCAGTTCTGAGGCTATGCAAATTTGTGGTCATGCATGCAAGCATGCACGCAAGTACACATCATGCCTCAGGAGGCCACATAGGCCGAGAAACCAGGATATCCGAGAAGTCTACAAGATAGCTGACATCCAAATTCCTGGAGGCGCATGGATCTTTGTTTGTAGGTTGCCGGCCATGAATCCATGTTGCTGCCATGCATGATTTGAAGGTGCTTCAGACAAGGATTCGTCTTCCTCTGATGATTCCTCATCGGAATCTGAAGTGCAAACCTCAATTGCCTCTTGTGACATGGATGGATGATTGTTTGGTCTCATTTTTGCAAGGTGGAACCTGAAAGTGTCTCTGCCAGCTCAAGCACATGGCAAGCGTTCCAGGAGGCAGAGAGGTCTTCAGGCCTGTTCTCTAGTTGCCATACCTTGTGTGACTTCATATAATGACCGTTTCTGTTAGAGTGAGCAGGAGTTGCTGAGGAGACTACGGTGCCAACAGAAGGAGTGTCACCATGAATGATCTAGATGTGATGTCATAGCTTTTGTTTCTCTTGCAGGACCGGGGGAACTTCATGCGACTGAGGAGGTTGATCCGGTGGTGAGAGCCCTTGATTTTGGACGCTTGTTTGCATGATGTTGCATGTTGCATGTTGCATGTCATGACATTTGTTTGTTCCCGCAGTGAGTTTGGCATGCATTCATTTGCTTGATCATAAGGGGAAGTTGCAGATCCAGATCCAGTCGAAAGCAAACGGCAACTGCTCCAAGAACTGCAAGAGTTGGAGGATCTCTTGAGCTTGAGGTGTAGGCTTGCTGCGGTTGCCACGCCGGCTAGGTCAGGTTTGACGGACACTTCGGGCGCAGCATCGGCTGGCCCTTCTTTGACAGAACCTGGGTCAAGTTCTTCAGGTGCCAGGGACACTTCTGGCGCTACATCATCAGTGCAGCCAAGCTCATCTTTGCCAGACCCTGTTGATGAGGTTCCGATGTTGAAGAAGCTCCCATGCCTTGCGCCATCTATGATGTCCTTGTCTACAGCATCTGGTACTTCATCGGTGAATCCCTTTCCTGAGCCTCCACTCGCTCCACTTCCAAGTCTGCCGGAACAGACTGTGCAGTCATCAGTGAATACCTTGCCCGAGCCTTCGCTACCAAGTCCACCTCCGCAGACCAGGCCTACTAGTCAAAGGCCACTGCCCAGTCAGGGGCCTAGTCCATGCATGTTCAACTGGTGCACACTTGCATGCATGCATGATCACATGTCTTCCATGCATGACATGTCATGGACTAAGACCCAGATGAAGCAGAGACTCAATCTCCTGGGTTTGTTGGAGACCCTTGCATGCACTATGTTGTATTTGTTGTGCTGCATGCATGGTTCTGGAACGGCTGTTGTACGCCTAGGCTGCCCGTCCGAATGGCATCAGTGCTTTGCTGGATGCACCTTGCATGCCTCCGCCAGCGAGGAAGACAAGGAATTCCGAGCAGGATGATGCCGCGGAAGATGAAGATGAGGATGAGGACAGGGATGAGGAGGGGGCGATTCCGAAGGCTAAGGCCAAAGCCAAAGGAAAGGCCAAAGCCAAACCCAGGGCAAAGGCCAAGGCCACGGCCAAAGCGACGGCCAAGGCCAAATCAAAGGCGAAAGCCAAGGGGAAGGCAAAGGTGCAACCCATGGGATGTGACACGGGGCCATCAAGCTCGGCATCGATGGCTAATCTACCAGCTGATGTGGAAGCCTCTTCTGGGCACAATCCACCGTCTGATGTTGTTGAGCCCTCTACATCCGGAGAACCTTCAACGAAGAAGCGGCGGACAATCACTGAAGAGGAGAAAGCCAGGAACCGCAGAAAGAGCAAAGCCTACCGTCAGGCCATGGCACAAAGCTTGAGGGAGAATGATGATTATGAGGCTGCGAAAGCTGCGGGGCGCAAGGTGACTGGATTGCAAGCCTGTCAAAATTGCATGATTCTGCATGATCATGTCCTGCATGCATCTTTGTGACTTGGTAAGGGCTTTGTGCCTGTCTTGATGAGTGACTTCTGAGGCATATGGAGAGATGGAGTAGGCCTATGCGAAGCTGATGCGGCCATGAGTGTGTGTTTGCACACACCATTCTTGCACTTTTGTGCGTTGGGGTCTTGACACAAGTGTATATCATTTGTGTTGCCAAAGGCAAATTCGTTGAACTCGTAGCTACACACGATCGATGGTCGACGCTTGTCAAAACATGTTGCGGGCTTCTTGTGGGCATGGTTTGCGCAGCTTTCATGTGTTGCATGCATGTTGCATGATTGTTGCTGCATCCATGCTTCATGCATGTTGCATGATTGATATTGCATCCATGCTTTCATGCATGTTGCATGATTGATATTGCATCCATGCTGCATGGAGGTTGCATGCATGTTGTAGATTGTTGTTGTAGCCGGACTGCATGCATGGTTGACAGGTGTCTTCATTGGCCTCATTGGCTCACAGCGTGGTTCTCATGGTGCTGCAGCTGGAGTCTGACCAATAAGTGCCCTTCCTGCTGCTTGTTCATGAGCTATAGCTAATATGTGCAATTTGTATCAACTTGCCTGGAGTTGGATGCATCATGCAAAGCCCATTGAATATTGCTAGCAGCCTTGTTGGGCTCAATTGTGGGCCACGGCTGGGCTCAAAAAGTGATGGGAGACAAGGAGAAGGGTTGCTTGATGTTGCTTGTATACTTTGTGTTCTGTCACTGGAATTCAATTGAATGTTTCGCCGGTGCCAGGACAAACGGATCCGCGGCACAGCCGGGCAGGTGCAATGGAGTTTATTTAGTGTAGCACTGGCCTCACTGCGTGTTTGTTAGGAGAAACCTCAATGGTACCAAGTCCTGGAACGGTATGAGGCCTGCTGCCTTGCTTCAAAACAATCTGTGACACAGAACCCAGTCTTTGTCAGATCCCAAGTGAAGTGCTGGACCGCTTCACAGAGGCCTGTGCAACATGTTTTGGGACAAATTGTGTTTCTTGTTTTTGCATGTGAACATACCAGGACAGAGATGTTCGCCGTGCTATGAACATCCTTCTGCGGGAGGGGAAGAAGGCCAGGGGGGATTGACTTTTCTTATATAATGTTCACTCTGCAGTGTCCCAGATGGCCACTGATCCTGGGCGTCCAGCAGCCAAGAGGACTGATGTTGCATTGCATGAATTGCATGCATGCCATGCATGTATTGCATGACATTCATGCATGCATTGCATGGCACTCATTCATTGCATGCATGGCATGCATATCAACTGATATATATATATATATGAATGACTTGAAATGTGCATGACTGTGACTGTTGCATGCTGATCATTCATGAGCCATGTCTGGCTGCAGGACACACCTGCCAGGAGCATCACCCAAGCAACCCTCGGACAAAAAACGCAAGGTGAACCAGAATGAGGGCGCTGAAGTCAACCCATCCTCTTCAGCAAGCAAACCAGCCAAGAAGGTCAAAAAGGAAGACACATCCACAAAGGAACACAGCAAAGCCAAAGAGCACAAGGGCCCTAAGCCTAAGGCAAAGAAAAAGGCTATTGTGGTTGAAGACAGTGAACCCCCCCACAAAAGGAACAAAGAAAGCAGACCCAGGGGCAACCCCGGCACCACTAGAGGCAAAGGCCTCAGAGGCTGTGCCCTCCCTACCATCAAAGGCTGCACCAACGGAGGCTTCAGCCACCCCGATCCAAGCTGCCATCCCGATCAAAGCTGCCCCCCGGCCACCTGCGAAGCCAGCTGCTGATGCATCTCCGCCCAAGCCTTCAGCGCCAAAACAGAAACAAATGCCTGTCCAGCAGCCAAAGCCCAATAGTGAGTCGAAGCCCAGTGATGA